CCCAGACACCCTATAAAAGGAGAGAGAATGATATAAGGGTCAGGCCTGAGCGTGGACTATGGGAAGGATGAGGGGCAGGGAGGTAGCCTGGGGAGAGACAGCGGGGACCAGAGGGGTGTCCTTCTGTGCTTCCTGTCTGCCAACACCCTTCTCTCTGCAGACAGTTCTCCAAGATTGAGGCTGCCACCCAGCACCTGGCCTTGTGCATCCTGTCCCAGGAGGCGTCCCCGCAGAGACCGTCACCCCGAAAGCCGCCGCCTCCACCCCCATCCCCCTTCCTGGGGGTGGCCTGCGCTGAGGCCCCTGCCAAGGTGCCCCAAGCTGTCCCCAGCCTGAGTCTGAAAGCGCTGGACACCTCCACCCTGGACCTCTTCGACGACATCACGCTCACGCACGTGTGTCCATCCATGACAGCTGACCCCTCCTCAGGACCGCAGACCCCTGCCGCTGCCCAGCTGGCCCCTGAGCTGCCCTGCCGTGCTCTGGGACACTCCTTGCCTCCCGCTCAGCATGTCCTCGGGGGAGGAGACGAACTGGTCCCGGATTGGGAGTGGGTGGGTGGCTGGGAGCTGCCTTGTCCTTGGGGTTCTCAGGGGATCCCTGGGACCTGGGAGGCCTGGTCCCCATGACGCACCAAGCCAGGAGCCTCCCTTATCCCTCATCCCATTGACTCCCTTCCTCTTACCTCTTGTTGTCAGATGCCATTGAGTTAATTCTGATTCATAACAACTTTATTTACAGCAAAAATACTGTCCACTATACAGCCTTTGTTCTGGACTCCTGTCATGACAATAATACCCATTCTTACAGCCTTTTTAAACAGTTCTCTCCCTCATCTGTTTCAATACAGTTGTATCCCATCTTTCTCATTCTCCCCCCAACCCCGATGTCAGTTCTGTTTTACAGCAGTGGCACCATGCAGTATTTGTCCTTTTGTGACTGAGATATTTCACTCAGCATAGTGTCCTCCAGGGTTACCCATTTTTAATAATATTGCATGAGTTCCTTGTTTTTCAATGCAGCATAGTATTCCATTGTGTGAATATACCACAGATTCTCTATCCATTCATTTGTTGATGGGCACTTGGGTTGTTTCCAACTCTTTGCTATTGTGAACAAAACCGCAATAAATGTGAGTGTGCATAACAATGTTGTTCTTATTGTTGGGCGTGTCAAGTCCAGGACGACTCACAGTGGCTCTGTGAACGGACCTGAACTCTGTCCGATCCTGTGCCTCCCTCGCTGTCTCTTACGTGCTCAAGCCCATCTCAGTGTCTGCCTCTCTTTCTCTGACCTTCCCCCTTTCCCATCACGATGTCTCTTTCCAAGCTCTGGGCCCTCCTGACAACGTGCTCCTGGTATGTGAGGTGACGTTTCACATCCTGCACTTCCTCCAAGAACAGCAGGGAGGAATGCGCCTCTTAGAACAACCAATCATAAAGATCAGAAGAAGGCCAGGGTTGGCTTGGGGAGGAAGCCCAGAGGGCAGGAAGGAGCAAGTGGAGAAGGCCTAGTGGAGACAGGACACACAGGGAGGAAGGGGGAATAGTGCCGTAAAGTGGTGGGGGTTGCAATCAATATGTAAATGGGTTGTTGTATGGAAAGCCAGTTTGATCTGTACAATTTCAGCCGAAGTATAATAAAAAGTTAAACAAACAACCCTCATTTCAAAGTGGCAGGAAGCTGTGAACAAAATAAAACAGCTGCCCAAGCAATAAGACCTGATGTTGGGTCATGACGGGATGACTTGAAGGACAAGAAAGGGTTGGGCATCTCTGAAGTCTTCTTAAAACCCAAGAGGGGTTTAGGGGAGAGCTTTGAGGACAGGACAGGACTTGGTTCTGCTGTCCCTGGAGCCACCTTTGGGGGCTGACCCCACTTTGAGCATTATTCACTTTTAAGATCTAGCCATGCACGATGAAATTGACAGCAGCAGCTCAAAGCCAGGAGTCTTAGGGGAGCGGAGAGTTTATAGTAATGCTGGTGCGGTGAGCCCACCCTGACTCAGGGCGACCGGGGATGGACAGATGGAGGCCCACCCTGCACAGCCCACCGCTGTAGCCTCATGTCACTTTAGCTCCCTGAGGGTCTTCCTCTCACTTGCCGGTGGTCTGCTTTCCCAGCATCAATCCTTGCCCAAGGACCCTTCAGGAAAGGACGTGAGAGTGGTCACACGATCAGAGGAAGGTAACCGGTGTTACTGGATCGTGCCTGTAACGTTCCTCCTTGCTCCCTTGGGTAGGCTTTCAAGAACGGCAACAAAAGCATAAGGGATTATTTGTCAAGCAAGAATCATTAGACACTGGGAAAGGAAAAACCCTCTCAGGACCCTTGGCACACCCAGAAAGTGACTCTTTAAAAATTAAATAAAATCTGCCATCCCAGAGGTACGCTGTTGGAATCCACCAGACACTCTGCTGGAGAAGGAGGGGCAGTCTCCTCCTGTGTCAGTCAAATCTGACTAGATGCCACACACACACACACACACACAAATAATAAAGTAAGAAAATTAATTAAAATTGGATAAAATCAAGATAATAAACTCCTCATCAAAGTAAGGAGCTCTGATGGCTCGATCCACAGGGAGTCCCCCACCAGCTGCTCTGTGGGAGAAAGATGGGAAATCTTCTCCCATGGGGCCAGAAACGCAGTGGAGGGTCAGCTGTGAGCTCGTTGCAATTTGATGGCAATGAGAGAAAGAGAGACAGAGACATACACACACACACACACACACACACACAAAGACAGAGAGAGAGAGAGAGAGGTGACACAATACGCTAACCAAAAAGTGTGCACTTCAGAGCCATAAGCTGCTGTGTGGGGAGAGGACAGAGTCACCTGCTTCTATAACATGCCACCTCTGCTGTCCTCTCTGGTCACCGTGAGGCTTAACCAACCGGGCAGCAGTGGGTTTGGCTGTTCCGTTTTGACTGAAAGAGTGTGTCAGAGATGATGAGGATGGCACTGGAGAGGGCAGGGTCCAGGTCAGTTGTTCATAGGGTCGCTATGAGTCCGACTCAAGTTGCTATCTAACAACAGTAGCCTACTAGTGGTCAGAAGGTGCACTGCCAACCCCAAAGGAGACGGTTCGAGTTCACCCTCTGCTCTGCGGAGGAGGCTGGGAGATCTCGCTTGCAATGCACCGTCTCTGAAAACCCTCTGCAAGTTCAGCTCTGGGTCGGTTTCAGACGCAACAGCAATGAACAAGTACAGGCATGAAAATTATGTTTCAAGGAAAGACAAGAAGAGCTGGTGATATGAGCTCTGGGGTCCCAGGTAGAGGAGGGGACTTCATGCACAGATGTCCTGAGAGAGGACGGTGGAGGAAATAACACGAGGAAGCCAGCGGGGCCAAGATGCAGTGAGCAGAACTGCCTTTGCAGGCCTGGGTGCAAGCACAGGGCCTCTCGGCTGTCGTCCTCATGTGAGCAGATCACCAGGTCTTGCTTCCACGGAGCCTCTGAGTGGGTTTTAAACCGCTCACCTTTCGGTAAGCAGCCCAGCGCTTACCCACTGTGCCACCAGGGTCCAACCCGCTCAGTGCACACACCACTTCAGGTCCGTAAACCACCCAGGAGGAAGAGGCTGCAAAAGTGGGGAAAATGAGACAGGACACGTCCCTTCTTCCCTTTTTTGGGGCTCAACAGGCACTTAAAGGGGCCCACCACGCTCTGGTGGAAATTTTGGGTCTCTTTGTAAGTCGCTGACTCTGTGCAGAAGGGCCAGGGCACAGGCTGCTTCTCCTTGGTCCCAGCATTCCTCTTCTTTTATTTTTTTAAGTATCAAATTATTAATTTTAACGAAAATTTACAGAGACTTTGGATTTCCATTCATTCATTGTTGCACTTTTCTCCCTGCCCACCCCTCCCACCCCCAGTACACACTTTTCTTTGAAAAGTAAAAGAAAAATTTTTTCGTTGTTTTACAATCACTCCCCCCAGGTCCACTCCACTATGCAGCCTTCGTTCTGGACTCCTGTCGTGACAATTATACCTAATCACATAACCCTTTTAAACAGTTTTCTCCCTCATCTGTGTCAATGCAGTAAACATTATTTATCCCCTCTGTCTGTCTCCCCCTAACCCCGATGTCAGTCTTGTTTTACAACAGTGGGACTATGCAGTATTTTTTCTTTTGTGACTTAGATATTTCACTCAACATAATGTCCTCCAGGGTCACCCATAGAGGAGGTAAAATTACTTCTCTATGCAGATGAGATGATAGTATCCTTAGAAAACCCTAAAGACTCAGCAAGAAAACCATTGGACATAGTTGATCAGTTCAACAAGCAAAGCAGCAGGATACAAGAGTAACATACAAAAATCACTTGGAATTCTCTACAGTGACAAAGAGAATACAGAGCCGGAGCTAAGAAAAACACAATAGCTAATCACAAGATTAAATACTTGGGAGTAAATCTAACCAGAATTACAAAGGATCAATTCAAAGAAAATTACAAAACATTAGTACAAGAAACAAAAAGAGACCTGGAAAATTCCTTGCTCATGTATAGGAAAACTCAATACTGTGAAAATGGCAATACTACCAATTGAACCAATCCCATTCTTCAACGAGATGGAAAAACATTCCCCTTCTGTGCAATGGGACTTCCCCCTCCATTCTCGCTTCAATCAGCTCTCTGAGCACCGCCCCCCAAAAGCCCTGCTTTGACACCCGCCACTCACACCAATTGTCCCTTCCCATTGGTCAAAAGTGCTTTCTCCCCGCCTCCGCAGCGCCACAGCGAACCAATCGTGTTCTTAAGGCTGACAACCCTCAAGCGTGGCTCCACCTAGAGGGCGGAACAGCGGCGTGTGCGGATTGGCCAGCGGGGGCAGAGCCCGACGAGCCCTGATTGGTCCGCTCTCCCTGAGAGGGCGGGTCTCCAGAGTGGGTGCAGAAGGTCAGCACGAAACAGTGCCGGATCACTGGAACCTTCTGACCTGAAACGTCCCGAAGACTAGAGTGGACAGGTGAGTGTCACCAGTCTCCAGGCCTCACCTGCGGAAAGAGGTGGCCCCGGGCTCGTAGCCGGCACCTTCTGGGTGAGTCCTTCCGATCAGGATCGCCCTCGGTTCCCACTATGCAGATGGGGAAACTGAGGCACGGCCGGCCGGACTACGATCACAGGCAGGGTGGGGGAGTGGGGTGGGCAGACCCAGCCTGGCCCCTCCGGTATCCGCCTGCAGGGGGGCTCGATCGCGCCCCCGATCGCACCCACCGTCCCTCTAGTCTATCAGCCCTGCGGCGTGGGGACACCTGGACCCCCATTTCTCCGAGAAGGAAGCTGAAGTTCAGAGTGGAAGTTGCGCAGGGTCACGAGATCCGCGCACCAGGGCTGGGTCCCCAGTACCAGGTGGAGGAGTGAACAGTCCTGTCCCCCCAGATGGTCCTAAGACGCCCCAACTCTGTCCCCAGGGGGAGTGTGTCACTCACTCCCCTTTCTCCAGCGGAGCAGCTCATGGGTTCTAGACACAGACCTTTTCATTAGCAGCAGACTGTCTTAACCACAGCACCACCAGAACTCCCCACCTGGGGTCCCTCCCGTGAGCCTCAAGGCACTTAGGGGGTCTTCCCCCCTCCCCTTCCCCAATATCTGTCTTGGCCCTTCTATCCCCACCACCCAGAGGTCTTAGGGCTTCTTACCCCCTAGACTCCATCTCATTCATCTCATTTTATAGTTTGTTTGTTTGTTTTTTTTAAAAAAGTTATGGAAGTGAAAACTGAAATTGTTGGTAAACGTTCACTCAAATAAAAATAATTTTTATTATTATTTTGTATGTGTGCCGTCAAAGCAGATCTGACTGGTACAGGAGGAGATTGTCCCTCCTTCTTCAGCAAAGCATCTGGTGGATTCGAATCGTGCACCGCTGAGATTAGCAGTGCAGCTTCTTGCCACTAGACCACCAGAGCTCACCTCAAATAAAAATAACTTTAAGACAAGATAACCCAAACCGCCACATTAACTCAACCTCATCAACAGTTTGCAAAAAAACAGCAAACAAAACCTAGTCCCTGCAAGCTCTGGTGGCCTCGTGGCAAGAAGCTGCACTGCAATCCCAGAGGTGCACAGTTCAAATTCACCATATCCTCTCCTGGAGAAGGAGGGACAATCTCCTCCTGTACCAGTCAGATCCAATATGATGGTACACATACAAAAAAATTTAAAAAAACAACACCCCAAACAAACAAAAAACCAAAACAAACAACCTAGTCTCCAGGAGAAAAAAACAAAATTGTTTATGGAATGTTTCCATAGGAAGCTCTGGTGGGGTGGGCAGTAGGGGGCTGTGCTGTAACCCCAAAGCTGGGCCTTTCTGGAGGTTTGAATCCAGCAGTGGCTTTATGGGGAAAGACGGACAGTCTCCTGTGCAATGTTCAGCCTTGGAAACTTGCTGGAGGGTCAGCTACGAGTCTGTACAACTCAAAGAAACAAAATACTTACACAAGAAAATACATCAATCACACTGCACTGTAGATAGATGAAGTTTGGCAAAAAAAAAAAAAACCACCCCACTGTTAACAGTATTCAAATCTAGGAACCCTAATTACTCCTCTTAAACCCTCTTGTGGCATTCCACCGCACCCCCTGCCAAGAACAAACACTCTGAAGACATCTTCCTCCAAAGATTGCTTGCTGGAGTTGGACCGTGATATATCTGTAAGGGAGCCCATTGTGGTGGTCACTGTGTCAAACATCTTGAGGGTCTTCCTCTGAACCTCCACTTTCCCCAGCAAGATGTCCCTCGCCAAAGACTGGCCATCCCTGACAACATGCCCAACGCATGTGAGATGCAGTTTAACCATCCTTGTCTGGGGCTGGGTCCACCCTCGCTGCACTTCTGCTGCTAAGATAAATGTGTTGTTTTGGCAGTCCATGATGCATATGCAACACTCTTTGGCAACACCACAATCCAAAGGCCTCAGCTCTCCTTTGGTCTTTCCTGATTCATTGTCCAATTTCCACAGCCATCTGAAGCAATTAAAAAAAAAACAAAAAACCAAAAACCCAACTATGGCTTGTGTCAGGTTCACCTTAGTCTTTAAGCTGACTCCCTTGCTCTTAACACTTTAAGGAGGTTCTTTTTCCCCTCCTTACTCATTGCTTTAATTTTTTAAATTTTTGGTGTGTACCATCAAATTGGATCTGACTAGTACAGGATGAGATTACCCCTCCTTCTCTAGCAGAGTATCTGATGGATTCAAACCACGTACCTCTGGGATTGCAGTGTCCACCCTTATTCATTGCTGTTGATTTGATTCCAACTGTCTCTCACTCTCCATCAGGTTTCTTAGGCTGTAAACCATTGTGGCCTACCGTTCTCTTACAGAGCAGCTGGTGAATTTGAACCCCCAGAGAAACACAGCCCACTTGGGCTAGCAGCTCAACACTCTGCTCACTGCATCACCAGGGTTCCCTTCTTTCTTCTTTGAATTACCAACATTTACACAGCCATTTTCCAAGGAGGTTGCAAAATGAAGACAGGAACCTTCTCAACGACAGGGAGTGATCACCCATGACCCTTAGGTCCAGCTGCTCTGGAGGGCAGAGTGCAGTTCATCCAGGCGTCTAAGGCCATGGGTCATTACAGAAGAGAAATGTCCCCTTTTCTCCTGCAGAGCTGCTCGTGGGCCCCAGCTGGTGACCAGGGCTCTTTGACCCAAGGAAGCAAATGCAGAAACTGCCATCAAGTGGACACTGACTGAGTGACCATTATGGACAGTCTGCAGCTGCACCTTGGGGTTCCCAAGGCTGGAAGGCTTGGCATATTTATTTTTTTTTAATTTTTTTTTTTTTTTACATTTGAGTGAAGGTTTGCAGGTCATGTTGGGTTTTCATTCAATCATTCATAGATATTTTTGTTTTGTAATATCAGTTGCCGTTGATGGATAGAATTAACTAATTACTATGTCTAATCATGCACAGCGGCTTCAAGCCCAAAAGGAGAAGAGGAGGGAGGAGACAGCCATAATCGCCCAGGTTTGCTCCACCCAGGGTGGCTGTGATCCTTTGGCCAGAGAGCATGGTGCTGTGTACTTGGGAGTCGTGTTGTATTGTGGCTGTCTCTGGAGAAAGGCAACTCTGCCTCCAGGAGCCAGGGAAGCCACGCTTGGCCTTGGGTTGAAGGCAGCAGCGGCTTCAAGCCCAAAAGGGCCCTCGGGCAGTCTTTCATTGTTTTTGTTCAGACATTCCTCTAGTTCATATAGCCCTGGTGTACAAGTTGCCTTCCCCGTGGTCACTTGTGGTTGCTGTGAGGCTGAACACTGTGACACGGATGTGTCAAATGCATTAATGGTTGGCTACCCAATGAGGACAGAGAGTGGGGTGGAGCTCCACGATTAAAACAAGCGTGGAAGGAGGAGTGGCATCCACTTCCATAATAGCTTGCCTCCGGAAACCCTATGAACCTGGAGAGAGGATGAAAGACACCCAAGCGTCGAGGACTCTCCTTCATAGGCTGGCTATGAGTCTCCTGTGACTCCATGACACTTAACAACAACAACAACAATTATGCACTCACACAAAAAATAAAATAAAGGGGGAAGTCTGGTAACCTAGCAGTAAGAAGCTGCGCTACCAACCTGAAGGCAAGCGGTTCGAATCCGGTAGGTGCTCCATGGAAGAAGGATGGACAATCTCCTCCCACACAATTTAAGGCCTCTGAAAACCCACTGGACAGTCAGCTGTGGGTCGGCTCCAACTCGCTGGTCCTCAACAGCAACCTCACCAAGGTGCTTCTTGGGGTCAGGCTGGTGAAACTCCACCTCACACACTTTGAGCACGTTACCAGGAGAGGCCAGGTGTCTTTTTTGTGTGTGAGTCACGCCACACTGCATAAGTTGTTCTAGAGTCATCCATGTGGGTAGTTGTTCGTGTCCTCTCTAAGGCTGTAAATCTTTAGGGAAGCCAGCTGTCTCCATTCTCTCCTATCGAGCAGCTGCTGTCGTTAGGTGCCATCGAGCCAACTACGGTCCAGAGCGACCCTCTGAACAGCAGCCCTCAAACTTACCCTGCACCGTGCTCACACCCACGTGGTCATCGTTGTGTCCATCTATCCCGTGGAGGACCTTCCTTTATTTTTTTTAAATTCATTTTAATGAACATTTACAGAGACTTTGGATTTCCGTTCATTCATTGTTGCATTTTTCTCCCTGCCCCCCTTACCCCCAGTTCACTCTACTCTTTGAAAATTAAAAGAAAAATTCTTTCATTGTTATACAATCCCTCCCCCCAAGTCCACTCCACTGTGCAGCCTTCATTCTGGACTCCTGTCATGACAATAATACCTAATCATAGATGCCTTTTAAACAGTTCTCTCCCTCATCTGCTTCAATGCAGTATACATTATTTATCCTCTCTTTCTCAGCTTCCCTCAACCCTGATGTCAGTCCTGTGTTACATCAGTGGCACCATGCAATATCTGTCCTTTCATGACTGAGATATTTCACTCAGCATAAAGGCCTTCAGGGTCACCCGTTTTTAATAATATTGCATGAGTTTCTTGTTTTCCAATGCTGCATATTATTCCATTGTGTGAATATACCACAGCTTCTCTATCCGTTCGTTTGCTGATGGGCATTTAGGTTGTTTCCAGCTCTTCGCTATTGTGAACAAAGCCTCAGTGAACATGGGTGTGCATATATCTGCTTGGGTGGCTGTTACGGTTTTTCTAGGAGGATCTTCCTCTTTCACCGCCTCCACCTTCCCCAGCATCCTGTCCCTCTAAGGACTCGTTCCTCCTGAAAATCTACCCAGAGTCAGAGAGATGAAATTTCACCATCCTTGCCTTGAAGGGGTCCTCTGGTTACAATTTTCCTGCCCATCAGATTTGTTTGTTGTTTTTGGCAGTCCATGGGGTCTGCAGTGTTCTCCAAGACCACACACAAAGGCACCAATTCTTCTGTCACCGTTCATTGTCCAGAAAATATCATGAGTGAGCACCTCGTAGCTTTGGCCTGGCGACCTGGTAGTTAGCAGTACCCTAGCAGGACCCCGTTGTGTGGCTTCTCTGGACTGTGCTTCTAAGAACTGGTTGGGGGGGGGGCGTCAGAGGGCTGAGCACTGGGTAAACTGAGGTTTAGGGACTAAGTAGGAGAAAGTCGGATTGGAGAGAGGTCAGAGCCTCTAAGGCTGGCCCAGGACTGGACAGCGTGCCTTTCTGCAGTAAGCAGGGTCAGAGCCAATGGGGACCCCCAGCCCCTACAGCCGCAGGACCCCCACTTGTGCAGCTGTGAAAGGCCCCTATGCTGAGTACATGGGGACAGGCAGCGACAAGCCCAGGACCCCAGCTGTTTGTCTTTATCCTAACCCCAAAGGCACTTGGCTGTGAGCCTAAAGGTCAGCTGTTCGAAACCAGCAGCCAGTCCGGGGAAGATAGCTGAGGCGAAGATTACAGCCTTAGTGACCCTGGGGTGGAGGTGGCTGTTTTGCTCTGCCCAAGGTCACTGTGGCCCTGGTTTATGGGTGATGGGCTGTATGTCCAGGGCCGGTCATACCCTTGCCCTGGGTTGCAGGAGGATATAGGCCCCCAAGAAGGGGCAGGGTGCGCCCCTGTCCTGCGGGATTGACAGGCCACCAGACGACTCCCCAACACTGCTCTTCTCCTCCAGGTCATGGCAGCTGTCAGGTCCGGCCTGGGCCGCATCTCCCCAGCTTCATCCATCCTGTTCCTGTGCGACATGCAGGAGAAATTCCGCCACAACATCGTCTTCTTCCCAGAGATTGTCTCCGTGGCTGCACGCATGCTCAAGGTGCACAGAGCCTCCGCCCCGACAGGGAGCCCCGCCCCCAGACAGGGAGCCCCACCCTCAGACAGGGAGTTCCGCCCCTCAGCAGGGTGCTCCGCCCTTAGATAGGGAGCTCCGCCCCTAGACAGGGAGCCCCGCCCATTGACAGGGAGCTCCGCCCATTGACAGGGAGCCCCACCCCCAGACAGGGAGTTCCACCCCCAGATAGGGAGCTCCGCCCTTAGACAGGGAGCTCCGCCCCCAGACAGGGAGCCCCACCCTTGAAAGGAAACCCCTCTCCTGATAGGAGCCCCGCCCCTGATAGGAACCCCGCCCCCAACATGGAGCTCTGTACCCAGACTGGGAGCCCCACCCCCAGACAGGGAGCTCCTCCCTCAAAATGGGAGCTCAGTGCTAGTACCTTGAGCTCCGCCCTCAGACATGAAGCCCCGCCCTCAGACCCAGGAGCCCTATCCCAGGCCCAGAAGCTCCACCCTTAGACCTAGAGCCCCATCCCAGACCCTGGAGCCCCTCCTCAGACCCAGGAGCTCCACCCTCAAACCTGGGAGCTCCGCCCCCATACAGGGAGCTCTGCCCTCAAACCAGGAGCTCAGTGCTCAGACCCAGGAGCCCCGCCCACATAGCCACGAGCCCCACCTCCAAGCCTGGAGGGTTGCCCTCAGACCTGGGAGCCCCACCCCAGAACCTGGAGCTCTGCCCTCAAACCCGGGAGCCCCACCTTCAGACCCAGAGCTCCGCCCACATGGCCACGAGCCCCGCCCCCAAGCCTGGAGCCCTGCCCTTAGACCTGGAGCTCCACCCTCATACCAGGAGCTCCGCCCTCAAACCTGGGAGCTCCGCCTTCAGACCCGAGAACCCAGGCCTTAGACTCAGGAAACTTGGGTAGACCCTCCTCCCTCAGACAGGGGAGTCCTATCCCCAAGACTCCTCTTTCAGACCCAAGAGGCCTGACCCCCCAGTCTTTCTCCCTTAGACCCAGGCGTCCGGATCCCCTGCCCCTCCTCCTCCCTCAGACCCAGGAGTCGCGACCCCCAACCCCTCACCCTCACCACCTCCACCATCAGCTCCAGCTCTGACCCATCCCTGTCCCCTCCCCGCAGGTGGCCCGGCTGCTGGAGGTGCCTGCGATGCTGACCGAGCAGAACCCGAAACGCCTGGGCCCCACGGTGCCCGAGCTGGGGGCCGAGGAGCTGCGGCCGCTGCCCAAGACCTGCTTCAGCATGGTGCCTGCCCTGAGCCAGGAGCTGGACGCCCGGCCGCACCTGCGCTCCGTGCTGCTGTGTGGGATCGAGGCACAGGCCTGCATCCTGGTGAGACCCGGGACCCCGACCCACGGGGGACCCACTGGGGCCCAGGCCAGCTGGCCTTCCCCGTTCCTGGCCCACGAGTGGCTCTCACCTGTCCTCCCCTGTCCCCTCAGAACACCGCCCTGGACCTCCTGGACCGCGGCCTGCAGGTCCACGTGGTGGTGGACGCCTGCTCCTCCCGCAGGTGAGCGCCCCTCGCGGGGTGGGGCCACCCAGGGGTAGCCACGGCCCCACGGTGGGGGGGGAACTGGGTGGTCACCCTGCAGCTGACACCTCTCTCCCACGCCCCCTCCCAGCCAGGTGGACCGACTGGTAGCGCTGTCTCGGATGCGTCAGAGCGGCGCCTTCCTTTCCACCAGCGAGGGGCTTATTCTGCAGCTTGTGGGGGATGCCGCGCACCCCCACTTCAAGGAGGTAATGATCTCTCTGCTCCCCTCCCCACGATCCCTGCACCTGATGCAGCTCGGCCTGCAGCCCCCCCACCCCGTGGTGGACAGCCGCCTCTAGGGGCCATCGAGCCCAGTTATGAGAAAGGTCCATCACCAGGAGGGACAGTGAGATGGGGAGGTCCTGGAGGCCACCTGGAGGAGATGATTGAGGAGTGAAGTGGGGAGGGAAGAAATGGAGCCATGCAAGGGTAAAGAGGAGCTGGCCAGCAGCCCAGCCCTGAGCCCTCTCACCTCAAGGTCCTTTCCTCCCCGTCAGATCCAGTCTCCACCCTTACACCTACCTGGAGCAGCCAGGGGTGAAGAGGACACACATACCCCCACACACCCACCACACCCAGCCGTTTCACACCCTCCAGCCTCGGCCTCAGCATAAGACCCTGAGCCTTCAGGCCTCCGCCCCTCCCTCCTTTCAGTTCAGTGTGCCCTAGCAGCATCGGACAGGGTTCAGATCAACTGATCACAGGGTCGCTCTGAGTTGTAATAGACTGGAGGACACCCAACAACAACAACACTGTCTTAGAAGAAGGTCAACCAGTATGCTCCTTAAAGGCAAAGGTGATGAAGCTTCTCACGTACTTCGGGCTAAAAGACCCAACTCATTGTCAGGAGGGGGCGAGTCCTTTGGAAAAAATGCATGCACCTTGGAAAAGGCAGGCAGGCCCTCAGGGAGAGAGACGGACACAGTGGCTGTAACACAGGCTCCGTGGGGAGGTGGTCAAGATGGCGTGGGGCTCTGACCTCTGGTTAGCGTTGGAGGGCTAGTACAACAGTATTCGACCACACACAGATGTGTATCAACTCAACACTTAACCCACTTCACCAGGACAGCTGGCGTGGTTGCTACAGGTGACACAGAAGAAGGACTGGGGGAGCCTGAGATACCCACTTGACTAGGGCAAAGAAGGCCTTGAGTTGTCAGAGCCTGGGGTTAAGGTCAAGGCTGGAGATTGGGAGTGGAAGGCTCAGAGAAGGGGTCTGAGAAATGAGGTTGCTTTTAAAGGGAAGGGGTCTGCACATTCGAAACCCAAGGCCAGCCAAGCTGTGCCTCAAGAGAGGTCAAGGCACTCATCAACAAACGAATGGATAGAGAGCTCTGATGTATCCACACAATGGAATACTACACTGCCTTGAAAAAAACAAGAAACTCATGAAATATACAAAATGGGTGACCCTGGAGGACATTATGCTGAGGGAAATATCTCAGTCACAAAAGGACAAATACTGCATGGTGCCACTGTTGTAAAACAGGACTGACATCGGGGTTGGGGGGAGACTGAGAAAGATGGGATAAAGTATGCATACTGCATTGAAACAGATGAGGGAGAAAACAGTTTAAAAGAGATATGTGATTAGGTATCCTTGTCATGACAGTAGTACAGAAGGAAGGCTGCACAGTGGGGTGGCCTTCGGGAGAGGGGTTGTATAACAATGAGAGAGTTCTACTTTTCAAAGAGAAGGGCAAACTGGGGTGGAGAGGGGTGGGCAGGGAGAAAAGTGCAACAATGAATGAGTGGAAATCCAAAGTCTCTGTAAATTTTCATTCAAATTAATAAGAAACCACTAGGGGGGAGAAAAAAGAGAGAGAGAGAGAGAGAGAGATCAAGGCAGTGAAGAGAACTAGGTGTTGGCCAGTGACGGGGAGAGAAAGCAGGCAGGTGTGGTTGGTGACCATACAATCATCCATGAAGTTTTGAGGGGAAGGAGTGTTGAATTTGCTGCCGAGGACCCAGGGGAAGAGCCCATCTCCCAAGGACCTAGAAATCACTGGAGGTGGCCGAGGTGGGCTCAGGGACTCTGCTGACACCACATCCTCTACTCTTTGCCCCTGCAGATCCAGAAGATTATCAAGGAGCCTGTCCCCGACAGTGGGCTACTGGGCCTCTTCCAAGGCCAGAACCCCCTGTTCAGATGACCCCCAGGCCCTGCCTGAAGCAGAGACCCCTCTCCTGTCAAGAGACTTCCCCAAAGCACCCCCTCCCCCCAGCCCTGGATCCCAGGAGTGGTGCAGTCCACCGGGAGGACCGCCCCCTCGGGAGGGGAGGAGGGGCTACGCTTCCCCATTGGCTGCTGGCTCCCGGAAATGCAAATGAGGGTCCTGGAAGATGAAAGAGGGTTGGTTGAGCGGAGCCGGAGGCGGAGCCGGGCCCTGGGTCGCTTCATTGGGGCGGGAAGGGGAGGGGGAGGGAATGTCACCGGCTGCGGGGGACCCGCACTCACAGAATAAACATTCATGTGGCTGTGGACTGAACCATTCCTGGGGTGTGTTTTTTGGGGGGTGTCCCGGGGGCGAGTGGGGGGCTGCAGGGAAGAGGGGTCCCCAGCAGGTGGGGAGGGGGTGGTGCCTCTTCGCTGCTCGGAGCCGGCGCGCGCGCGAGGCAAAGGGAGGGTTGGTCGCGGCCACATCTGCCCGGAGCCGGCGCATCTGCACGGGCGGAGCTGCGGGCCGGGGTCCCCCGCCACGCTGCGGGCCGCCCCCCATCCACCGGCGCGCGCACGGCCAGCCCGGCGGCTCGCAGACACGCGCTCGCTCTACCTCCCCCGGGGGCCCCCCCACGCCGCCGCCGCCGCCACCCCGAGGGTCCCGCTTCCGGAGAGCGAGGTGAGCACGAGCGCACCTCCGCGCAGAGGGGGAAACTGAGGCACGGGGAGGAGGAAGGCATGGGCGTGTGGATGCCGGGGTGGAGGGGTGGAGGGAAAGACAGACGCTCTTGTGCAGTGGTCCGATCACGCCTGGAGATGCTGCAGTCAGGGGGCCTCAAGCCGGGGCTCCCCGAATTCCACAGCCCCTCTGGAGATCTGGGAATTGGCAGGCTAGAGGGTCCCTAGTTCCTGTCCGCGTGAATCTCAGTCCTTGTGCGCCCCCAACCTTGGGGACTTAAGAAAGCAAACTACAGAGGCCCCCAGGGACCCCCTCAATACCAGAGATCCCAGCTGGTCTGACCCTCGCTAGAGAATCCGCACCCCAACTCCTGCCCTCGAATCCCAGAACCTTCCCAGGGGATCGATCCCCGGGGACACCCCCTCCCCAGGAGCCCAGGAGTCCCAGCCTCCCCCGCCCTCCGGGGGCCTTGGCACTGGGCGTCGGCGCCCCCCGCGGCCCCCGCCTTCCGGGATCCAGGTGTCCCCCCTCCTCACCCCGCAGACTGAAGCTTCGCGTCTGGGAGGCCGGGCTCGCGTCGTCATGGCAACAGGAATCTATTTTGTGCTGGGAACACGCAGCTCTCGCCGCAGCGCCCCCCCTTCACCAACCCGGGCCTGAGCGAGAGTTGGGGGACCCCGGGAGAGGGTCTGGGGTTCCGGGGGAGGAAGAGGGGAGACGCAGATCAGAACTCTCCGGGAGACCCTGGAGCAGCCCCGCAAAGAATCGCGAGGTGGGGAGGAGGAATGTGAAAGCAGGTGGGGGAGACTCATGTATAATGGGGGGACTCAGAGATCTGATACATACACGCAGGGGGTGCAGGCTCCCAGAAAACCAGGACGGAGACCAGAGGAAGAGGCTAAGACAGGGCAGAATTCCTGAAGCGGACATGTATGGGTGGGCGGTGGGTCCAGGAGAAGACCCAGGGAGGGGGCACCTGAGGAGGAGGGGAGCCTGAGACACCCCGCTATGCAGAGACGCAGACCCACCCAGAGACAGAGGCACGAGTTACAGACGACCGGCTAGGGGGCTGGGGGCGCGGACTCAGGCTACAGGCTTCCTGGTGGGTCAGCGGGACAGTCTCTGTAGCTCCCCTCAGCCTCCTGACCCTCACCTGCCCCCCCCCCGTGCCCACACCTGGGCCTCCCTTCCCTCCACTCGACCCTTCCTCTCCCCGCATCCCGTGTTCCTCCCCACAGCCTCCTCCTGCGTCCAGATCCGCCCTCTCTCGCCCCTGCTCACTCTGCACCTAAAGGGCTGGTGGAAGACCCCACCCTCTACTTCCACCCCTGGCGTCCTGTCCAGCCCCTCAGCTCCCCCTGGGACCGCTGTGCCTAGGCCACTCGCCAGTCCCAGCTCTTAAATGTAAAAGGGGGTTGGTCTCTTTCCAGGCCTGTCCCACTCTCTCTAGGTCTCTGTACTACCCTCTGCTTCTGCATCTCTCTGTTACCCCTTCTCCCTGGCCTCTGTCTCCTCTCTCTGGTCTCTGTCCCTTGCCTCCTCTCCCTGGCCTTTGTCCTCTATCTCCTGGCTTCTGTCCCCTCACCCTGGCCTCTGTCTCCTCACCCTGGCCTCTGTCTCCTGTCCCCTCGCTCTGTCCCCTGTGCCCTCTCTGGTCTCTTTCCCCTGTCCCCTCTCTCTAGCCTCTGTCCCCTGTCCCCTCTCTCTGGTCTCTGTCCCCTGCCCCGTCTCTCTGGAGTCTGTCCCCATCTTTGACCTCCTTCCCTCCCCTGTATCACCGCCGGTTTCTGAACCTCTGCCCCATTCCAGAAGGCCCTCTCTCCCTGGAGCCTGTCTCCTGAGCTCCGTCCCGCCCCTCCTTCTCCCTTGACCATTCCAGGAAGGCCTGGAGGTCAGCTCTCCTGGCCCCACTTGGCCCAAACCCTCCTGCTTCCAGCTCGCCACTGGCTGCCCCAAGGGAGGATGTGCAGAGGGCAGGAGTGTGGGCACCCTGCTGTGTGCTGGGGGCGGACCTGCAGAATATTGGGGACTAAGGACATCGGCAGTGGGCACTCTGACCTCTGTCCCCTGGTTCTGTCTTGTAGGTCCTAGGCTGGAAAAAAACAGACCTATATGGCCTTGTGCTGATGGGCATGTGGGTTTGGGGAGCAGGGAGGTTGAGTTCTGGTCCCTGTTCCCCCTAACTGTGGAGGAGGAGCGCGCTCAGCTCCTGTGTGTGAGGGGGTGGGGATGGGGCTGTTCTGGGGGTGGGGGTATCACATGTCTGCTCCCAGATTCCGCTGCGCACTGTTGGGGGGGGGGGGGCGCGCAAACACGTATGTTGTGGGCCCGTGTGTCACGTGGTGGGATTGTGTGTCCACGTGTCACCGGTCCGATGAGTCCCGCAGGGTGTTCTTGAACTGGGGATGGGCAGAGGCTGTGACAGTGTCTGGGACTTCCATGCTGTTTGTGGAAATATGGAAGAAAAAGAGAAAAAAAAAGAGCACTCATTTCTGTGCCCAGTGGAGCTGCGTGTGAGTGTGTGTGCATCCGTTTCCTGCGATGTGTGCCCACAGCAGCTGGCTGCGACCCCACCCACCACGACCAGCCCTGCCCTGCTCCTGACCCACCCTCCCACCCTCCCGTCCCCTGCGATCTTCTGCGCTCAGCGCTCCAGCTCTCTGCAGCAGCCATCCTTTTCCTGGGGCTGTGGAAGCGAAGTTCCCAGTGGGTGGGTGGTTGAAGACACAGAAATGTATTCTCTCACAGCCCTGGAGGGTGTTGTTGTCGTTCGGAGCGAGTTAGCTCCCATCTAATCGCTCTAATCCATGGCAACCTCTTGTACAACAGAAGTACAGCCGGCATCTGCGCCATGGGCGCGCCCCTGCTTGCAGCTCCCAGCCACTCCACGTCCTGGTAGGGGTTCTCAGTTTTGCTGGCCCGCCACCATCCCCGACACAGCAGCATTCCTCCCAGTGACTGGCCTTTTCTGACGATGTGCCCAAAATGAGTGAATGAAGTTGGGCCTTTCTAGAGTGTAAGGAATCTTCTGGCTCTATTTCTTCTGTGACTGACTTGTCCAGTCTCCCAGCAGTACACGGTTTCATCCATATTCTTGGCCAAGGCTGCCCTTCAGGTGTGTCGCTGCTTCTTCTGTCTTCCTTTTTTGTGGTCCAACTTTTGTGTGCCTAGAAGGTGACTGGAAATACCACAGCAGGCTCTGGATACCCCTAAACCCCACAAAACCCTACACTCAATGCCTTAAAGTTGATTCCAGCTGATAGTGATTCTGAAAGCCAGGGCAGAACGTCCCCGCACAATTTCTAAAGCAGTAAATATTTTTTTAAAAGTTATGATTTGACCAAAAGTTTACAAAACCAGATGGTTCTCCATGCAACCACTCATGTGGTTGGTTTCAGGACATTAATCACAGTGTCCACAATCTTGCTGCACTCTTCCCCCTTGATCCCTGTGATTCTCAGCTCCGTTCTTCCTTCTCTCCTCCCTGTTCCTGCCTTCTGCGCTTTGTCCGTGGGTGAACACTGCCCTCGAGGCTGGGCACCTATCTGGCAGGAGCTGGCTCCACCCTTCTCCTGAGGGACTGTGGGTGGGTTTGAACCTCCAACCTTCTTCAGCCAGCAACCGAGAGTTTTGACCACTGCACTGTCAGAGCTCCTTCTGTCTGGTCACCAGAGGCCCAGCCTGAGGGTGTCAGCTGTGCTGGGCAGCTGAGGACGATGTAGGAGAAGCCATCCCACGCTCCGCCCAGCTTCACATGGTGGTCAGCGGTTCTTGACCCTCCGCGGCTCAGAGCTGCCTCACTGTGATCTCTGCCTCCGCCTCCGCATGGCCACTGTCCACTGTGTCTCCTTATCTGTCACCAGGATAGCAATCCTATAGGAGGGCTGTTGTTGGTAGGCGCCAATTCAGGTATGACTCATAGCAACCTGTGAAGAGCAGATCTGAACCCAGGCCACCCTGTGCCGTTCTCGCCATCTCTGATGCTTCCGAGCCCATTGCTGCAGTCACCGAGTCCAACCTGGTTGAGGATCGAGGAGCCCCTGCTCCAGGATGACGGAGTTCTATTGGCTTAGCAGTAAGGAGTCGTACTGCCAACCCAAAGGGGCACAGTTCAAAGTCACCTGCTGCTTCCTGGGATCATGAGGGGCAATCTCCTGTGTGATTATCTGCCTCTGAAAACCTGCTGGAGGGTCAGATAACTTAGTAGAGTGTACACACCCTTCAGGATGAGGGATTCTGGTGGCCCAGGCTGTAAGGCGCTACGCTGCTGACCCAAAGGCCTCACCTCTGTGGTTCAAGTCTCCCAGCAGCTCTTCCAGAGAAAGATGTACAGAGTCTTCCTCCCAAAAAATTCCCAGCCTCCAAACCACGCTGTAAATTATTCCGACTTGACATCATGAGGCGAGATAATGGCGACTCTACTGTGAGATGTTCTGGTGGTGAAGTGAGCAACATTTCCAGCTGCTAACACCAAGGTCAGCGGTTCAAATCCACCAGCTGCTCCACGGGAGAGAGATGGACAGTTTCAGACACCTGCTGCAGGGTCGCCCCGGGCCGGGGTGGATGTGACAGCAGTGGGACTCCAGTCTGAGGACCCCTGGTGAGACAATGGTTAGATGCTCACTTACTAAGCAGAAAGTCGACAGTTCAAACCTATGAGTCACTGTGTGGAGAAAGCTGTAACCATCCATTTCTGCAAAGATTCCTGACTGCTATGGGGCCATTCAGATGTCCAAGGACCTTCTGTCAGCTTTCCGAGGCTGGACGTCTTCACGCAACGAGACTACTCAGCTTTCTCCTGTTGCAGACCGAGGGTGAAGTATTAATATACATATTAATAACGAGACAGAACACCAAGAATACAGGAGCAAACAGAGGTGAAGCAGGAGGCAAACAGTTCTCGAGCAACTGAAGCGAACTGAAGAACGGATTCCAGCTTCCCTGTGCCTTTATTGAGAACTGACAGGGAGCAGATCACAAAGAGAATTCAGTGCAAATGAAGCTGAGCTCTTTCTATTGAAAACCTTATGCTTGACTCAGGAGGGAGGGATTAGCAAATACAATACAAGAATCCTGTAAAGGCTTAAGGATTGCCTTAGTGTTCACCCCGTAAACATTTAAGGATTGCCTTACTGCTTCAGGGTGAATTCCAGCTGGTACCAGCCTCCCTCGCAACCTGAAATAGCGTTCTGTTTATTACAAATATTTAGTACGAAATTTGGCTCCCCATATTCTCCCTTCGAGCATCTGGTGGATTTGAACCACTGACTTCTGGTTAGCAGCCAACATATTACAAATGAAACCCCAGGGGTCACTCTGTATAAAGATTCCAGTCTAGAAATCCTTATAGGGCAGTTGACAAAGCTCTAGGGGGTCGCTGGCAACCATCTTTGTTCGTTTGGGTTTAAGTCCTGTATGACCTCACGGAGATATGCAAATGATACAACCCTGCTTGCTGAAACTGAGGAGAACCTGAAGCGCTTGCTGCAGAGGGTCAAGGGCTGCAGCCTCCAATATGGATTGAGGCTCAATGTCAAGAAGACAAAGATTCTCACCATTAGGCCAATTGGCAGCATCAGGATGGATGGTGAAGAGATTGAGATTGTTCACAGCTTCAGTTTGCTCGGCTCCACGGTCAACACTCTCGGCACCAGTATTTAGGAAATTAGAAGACGTATTGCGATGGGAAAGTCTGCTATTAGGGACCTCTCCAAAGTACTGAAGGGCAATGGTGTCTCTTTGGAGACTAAGGTGCATCTGATACAGGCCATGGTCTTTGCTATCACTTGTTATGCATCAGAGAGTTGGACAATGACTAAGGAGAATAGAAGGAGAATTGATGCCTTTGAGCTATGGTGCTGGAGAAGAGTATTGAGGGTACCATGGACTGCTAGGAAAACAAATTCATCCTGGAAAGGGTCAAACGGGATGGCTCCCTGTAGGCAAGGAATCTAAGGTTCCATCTAACATACTATGGACATGTTGCAAGGAGAGACCGGTCCTTGGAGAGGGACATCATGCTTGGCAGGGTGGAGGGACAGCGCAGAAGGGGAAGGCCCTCTATGAGGTGAATTGATTCAGTGACTGGGGTAATCGGCATGGGAGTGTCAGAGACAGTGTGATTGGCACAGGATAGTTTAGGGCTGTTGTACACAGGGTCGCTATGAGTCGCAAGCGACTCGAGGGCACATAACAACAACAACAACATGACCTCACGGTAACTGCTCCTATCTTTCAAGGTCTTTCCAGTCCAGAGGTGGGCTTTCCACACACCTTCATGCTACCTCAGCCCATCAAGCTGGAACTCCTCACCACTGACTGACCGTCCAGCAGGCTTTCAGAGACAGTAGATCTCATGGGAGGAGACTGTCCACCTTCCTCTGATGGAGCAGCTGGTGGATTTGAACCACATGCCTTCAGACTGCAAAGGCTGGTCTTGCCACATTAACAGCGAGAATGAAGACTCTTCTCAGCAACCAGACTGTTGACATTCCAGAGAATGTCATTGCTCTGAAGGGCCACACAGTGATCGTGAAAGGCCCGCGGGGAACCTCAGGGAGGGACTCAAATCACATCAATGTAGAGCTCAGTCTCCTCAAAGGAAAAGAAGAGGCTTCGTCTTGACAAATGGTGGGGTAACAGGAAGGACCTGGCTCCCAATCGCACCGTCTGTAGCCACGGACCGAACGCGATCAAGGGGGTTACACAGGGCTTTCGTTACACGATGAGGTCTGTGTGTGCTCATGGCTCCATCAACGTTGAGGTTTAAAGGAACTCATCTCTGGTTGAAATTCGAAACTTCTTGGGTAAAAAAAATACATTCAGAGAGTTCGAATGAGACCAGGGGTTGCTTGTTCAGTATCTCAAGCCCAGAAAGATGAGTTAGTTCTTGAAGGAAATGACATTGAGCTTGTATCCAATTCCACTGCTTTGATTCAGCAGGCTTCAACAGTTAGAAACAAGGCTAGCTGGAAATTTGTAGATGGTATCTATGTCTCCGAAAAAGGAACAGTCCGGCAGGCTGATGAGTGAAGGCTAGGAGCCTTCAGGCTACAGACATGAGGCCGGTCAAGTCCTGTGCATCTGATTTCAAAACGCGTCTGATTCTTGTAATAAAATTCTATTCATTTGGGGAGGGGAAAAAAACCCTGCAAGGGTTGACAGGACAACTCGTTACCACTAAGCAACCACCACGAGGTCCCTGACATACATTTATAGGGCACACGATTCAGTCCATAGCTGTGTGTGTCTGTGTCTCTGTGTGTGCTTGTGTCTGTGTCTGTGTGTGCACGTCTGTGTCCATGTGTGTGTGTCTCTGTATGTGTGCTTGTGTGTGTCTCTGTGTGTGCTTGTGTGTGTGCGCGCGTGTCTGTGTGTGTGCAGTATTTGGGTTTGCCCAAGTGCTCCGTCCCACACTCTACTATCCCTGACCCATACTTCCCATTCTCCTGTACGAGTGCAGGAGACCACGGGCCCCCCGTGGCACACGCAGAGTAGACCTGGCATGGAGTGCCACGTGAGCAGCCGATCTGCTAGTCCAGGCGGCACCCCCCAGCCCGACGTCGCTCCCCCACCACATCTGTAGTTAGGCTCACAGATGGCACCCCTGTGTGCATCTGAAAAGGGCACCCCTGCTTCCAGGCGCATGCCGCCCCTGTGGAGCCCGCCATGGGGAGGCGGAGCCAAGCTGGATATCAGCCCCCAGCCAGACCTCCTTGTGCACTGTGCAACCTGGGCGACCAGACGGGGCAGCTCTCTGTGAATGAAGGGACTGCGTTAGTACATGTGTCACTCTGGCTCTGTGCATGTGCGCGCGCGCGCGCATAATTCCCAGTGTGTGATAAAGGCAGCCTTGGAGCTCAGCCGGAAGCCTGAGTTCAAAGCCCAACCCTCCAGCAGTTTGTGCCTGGCTTTTGTGGGGCTTGGGTAAGAGATGGGATCTCTCGAAACTTCTGTATCATCTGTGTGTGTGTGTGTGTGTGTGTGTGTGTGTGTGTGTGTGTGTGGCAACAAGAGGGTGTACATCTCACATTTGGTCCACCATTCATCCAAGCAATGAGTCTTTATTGGGCACCTTGCTTGGAAAAGTAGAGAGTCCGCAAAGTAAAGGAAGGCGAGATGGTTTAACACAAACGCTGAACCTCTCTGCTGGCTCAAATTCACAAACAGCTCCGAGGGAGAAAGGTGGCCAGTCTCCTCCTTAGCAACTTATCATCTCAGAAGCCTCTGAAGGGTCAGCGCGTGCTCGGTTCTGACTCCACAGCTCCGAGAGGCCAGCCTGTGCCGTCGTAAGAACAGCTGTGTCGGTCTGGCGCGTTCTCGCTGTGGCCTTCTCGCTGCGCCCTGTGGCTGAGCTAGAAGGTTCAGCCGTGGCCAGGGGTGCTCAGGCTGGACCTGCAACCTGTGAGTGTGGGGGGAGTGTGGTGCCGTGCGTGAGAGAGGGCAGGCAGCTCGAGGCCTCTGGTGTCAGGCCTTCCAGGGGAAACACGCTGGGCACATTGAGGACTCGATGGCAGGAGGAGCCCTGGTGGCACAGAGGTTAAGGAATTCAGCTGCTAAGGAAAAGGTGGCCGGTTTGCGCCCAGTAGCTTGTCTGAGACGCAAATGATGAGGTCGTCAGTTTCCCCAGGGTCGCTGTGGGTCGGAATTGACTCGATGGCGCCAGATGAGCTCCGTGGCTCTGCACCAGAGTCGGCTCTGCTCTGGAGGGGAAATGTGGAGTGTCTGGAGACAGGCCTGATTGTCACTGGGAGGGGAAGGCTGCTGACAACAGGCAGGCAGCGAGCACCCAGGGGCGCCCCTCAGCCCCTCGTGAGGCAAAGGACAGGCCCCCACCCTCCAAACATCCACGTGGGGAGCCTGAGACACCCTGCTCTAGCAAACTCAAAAGTGTTTTTGAAGACTTGTTACAAAATTCGAGCGAACGCTTATCAACCCTATAGGGTATTTTCATTCCATCTGGTGTTTAAAGGTCCTGACGGCAGTGGGAGCATGTAATGCATCTATTATAACGTCTAAGCAGCGCTTGAGGTATACTGGCTTTCTCAGACCCTCAAATTTAATCTCTGTCTCTCTTCCCTTCTCCAACCCCCTCCTTTCTCTCTCCTTCCTCATCCCCCCAATCCTCTGGGCTCACCCACCCACATCTGTCTGTTCCTCTCTGCGCCCCAAACCTCCCCTGCACGGCCCCGCCCTCGCCATCTGCGGCCCCGCCCACCGATCAATCGCCCCGCGTCCCCCCCCCCACTGTGCACTTTTCCTCTCTCTCCATGCGCGCGTGCTCACTGCTTGCCGCCGGCGCCCACCCTGCTCCTCACCCGTCACTCAGTTGGTCTGTCTGTCCTCCCTGCACGTGGTCCCGGTGTCTGGGTTCCCCATCCACGCCTCGCCCCCTGGGGCTCTCAACATAGGGTCCCTGCCGCCACCTGTGCATTCCTCTCCATCTCTCCGCCTGCCCTGCGCCCACCTCGCCCCACCGTCCAGCCTCCTCGGTCGTTCCGCGCGCAGCCTGGCGGCCCCCGCCGAACCCCCGGCCCGCCC